CAAATATACATAGTTTTCTATCCTATATTAACTTTTAAAATTATAATATAATAGAAGTATACTAATTCTATTATCAGATTGCTCATTTTTGAAATATCATATGAAAGTTAAGGGATCGTGTACAATGAGAGGAAGAGATTAACATGAAAGACGGGTACTGGATGAATTTGGCCAAGGTAATTCAGCAGTGTGAGGTAAAGGGATGAACAGGGCGAAGAATGAAGATATAATGCTGGCTATCCATTGAACAGTTTTAGCGAAGGATGATGATGATATGTGTATGGATAGAGGGAAGAAGAGACAAAAAGTGAAGAGGTCTGACCGGTTGTATGCATCCTCTGGTCACTTAAGGCGGTTTTCGGATGAGAAGAGGGGGAATCGCATAAACAAATGTTAACTATACCCGTTATCGATTCAATGAAGACTGTTGAACGAACACGAACACTTGTTCCAGTTTTGCTATTAACATTCCTAACATTCCTGAATTGTTCCTTCTTTGCCCGATCCGAAATTTGCTATCGATGCGCTAACGAATTTATTGTTATGGTTGGATGTTTTCCTTTTTTTGAATTTATTTTAAACGAGCATGTTTAACAATGTGGACATCAAATAATAAGAAAAAAAAGAACTGTTCATTAGCCTGCTAAGGCTAGGCTTCTCGAACTGGTGACTACTTAACCTGCTAGTTGATCGACAGAAGCAGTTTTAGCAAGCAGCGTTATGAGTTTCTTCAGGTTCCCTTGTACCAGAAGGAGATACGCTGTATTGATTCACCAGATGACTCGGTCATTATTTACTACATACTATGTCCTGGTCATTGTTTACTAAATATTAGCTGATAATAAATTATTTTATTTTCCACTTCAAGCAGATTGTTCGGTATGGACTTTGCAAAATTTTGTGTATCATAAAGGTAGATTCTTATACTGATATTCCTTGGTCAGGAATCGTAATGCTTTATGAAACAAATAAGTAGTAACGCTACTTCTTATTTGTGAATTGTCCAAGTGACTATTTGCTTATCAGAACTAATAAATCCATGAATTTTCATTAGAATTTTCAGTATTGGGGGCATTTTCTCCCAATTCAAGCAGAAGATGAATTAGTTGCCGATTCGGCATGTATTAGAACTGATGAAAGATCGGAAGAAGTACAATGTGTTGGCCCATGCCTAACACTGAATGTCACTTTTGGTGAAGGTAGCAAGACTCGAACTATAGGTATACATTACTTTTTACCGATTCGTTGATTGACAAGCCAAATTTATGAGAAGACATAACATTATAAGATTATCATTCAATAGTGTGAATTCCAATTTACCGAATTATGTAACTGTCCAAACTGGAAGTAATTCTCTTCAATAACTTTAGTACTTCATTTTTAAAATTGATTAATGTTTACTAATTCTTCCAAAAAACTCCTTCATTAAAAAATATTGAAGTATGGTAGAATGTTGGTCATTTGGGATCGAACATAAAGAAAAATGCTTTTTTTTTTAGGAATGATGCGAGATTGCCAGAAGAAGTACTATAGTCGGGATTCGGGTAACGATGGAGGAAATCGCAGATGCCGGAACCAAACCGTTAAAGTTCGACAACATGTACTAAATGCCGAATACTGCTTTTGTTCGGGTAGTTACTGCAATGGTGATGGCGATCGACTGGACAGTTCAGTGAATGAATTTCGGAAAGCACCAAAATATACGAAAATTCGAAACAATCGATGGAATGGTACCAGCATGTCAGTACCAGCATGGGGATGGTCGTTGTGCAGCGTTCAATGTTTGATGCTTATTTATGTAGTATGTTTCAAATTACGTTTGTCTAGTTTGTAGGATGTGCATGTGTTACTGTTGGATATTATTTCATTGCTGTGCTGCGATTTGTTGCTTCGACAGTTTGTGAATGTTTGCAGAAAATAACATGAACCGGTCCTGAACAAACTTATGAACCGAAAAGAGTGTGATTTTACTAGGGCAGATAGCGGGAAACAGCTGGATATGTAACAACTGGTTAAAATGGCAGTGAGTTAAAGAGAACAATAAATACGGAAGACTAGGCGTTCTTGCCCAGCCCGAAGAAAAACCAACAAAAGGGGACAGTTGACCTTTCGCTAACTTCTTGTCTCATCTTAGTTAAGAATTTTTATAGGGCAGATTTTGTAACCATGCAGAGAATGCTGTATTGTCTTATTCAAGGGACTTACATCTATACGTATGGCGATATGCTGTCGTCACTTCGCGATGAACCGTACTACTACGTACTACTACGAAAAAGTACGGTTCATTCGCGATGAACCGTACTTTTTCCTGCCATTTGATTCGCGTTCCGGAAAAGGAATCGATATGAGCTCAATATTGTCAAATTGTTCCGGCCCATTATTGTACTTTTTCTCATTATCGCCTCTGAACATTCCGGACTGCTCATAACGAGCTCATAACGACTCTGAAAAAATTAACCTTATAATCCCACCACTGCAATTCAGATAGCTTAGGATCGAATGAATTTGAATTTCCAGATTTTGACAGATGACGAAAGTAACATAGCTAGTAACATGACTACTAAGTAACATGACTACGTCAAAAATAGAAGCTAGTGGAATAGTTGTCAGTGGAAAATTATTCAGCTTTTTTTTAACTTGAACAATTCGTGCTACCTTGAAGATCCCGTGGGAAAGATCCTCGAGTCATCTCATTGTCTTGCAGCCGCTCCTCAATCCTCATGCAGTCCGTCTAGCACTTCACATAGGACCATTCTTCCTCCTGATGACCTGATGACTTCTGATGCAACTCAGTAGTACGTTATTCCGTCTGATCCTTTCACTATTTAATACCGTTGCATCGAACGTAACATCATGTTTGAATCCCTTAATATCAGTCAATGACCATAGACAACTTGCTGATACCAAAACGGACCCTCTTAAATCTATATTTTAAAAATTTCCTTTCTCCTAGTTCTGTGTCTGCCTCGCTTACCTATAACATATGAGATACCTACTGCCCTCAGTCGTAGGAGAATGTCTAACTTGGGAGCATCACAAGGCTTCTTCCCATCTCGTAAAGAGCTAATACCCGTTAATATATAGATAGGTAGTAAATTCTCTTGTTTCGTTACACCTCACTTCTGTTTCTTTTCAAACGGATTAAGAGCATTTCCTCGTATTGTTTGAGTGGATCTGGATTAGATCTAGGAAATTTTATACCGGCCTGAAATATGCAACAGCGGGTTCGAAACTGCTTGTTGAACGTAGAATAATTCGTTTCCAAGACAAGCTGGTACGATATTGGTCATCTCCTCCTCTATCACCATTTTATGGCCAAGTGATTATCATCTCTTCTTGAAATGCTCTTTCTGCTCTTTCTGGCCCAGAACCGATTAGTCACCATTTCCGTTTGCGACTTCCACAGTAATTGATTCGACATGGTTCTCTGTCGTTCACTCTTTGCCATCATAAACCGTTAAGAGATTATTATTGCCGAGTGAACGAAAGTGTTCCAGAATATAACATGTATGATGTAAGTTAGAAGGTAACTTGTTGTCGCTTTGTAGTTCAGTTAACAGTGCCGAGTGATATCAGTCAAACTTCATACTTTTGTACTTTAGTAGCCAAGAGTCAACCAACCCACGAAGATGAAGATGGTAAGGAAATCTCCCCCAAAATAATCTTTAAGGTTGTATAGCAAATATACAGTTATATACAGAGACAAAATATAAATATACAGAAATATATACAAATATACATACAAATATACAAATATACAGAGACAGTCCTTTTCTCTCCCCTTCTGCACCTGTCTTCCCCGCTGTCTCGGGAGTCGGAAAACCAGCTGGGAAACAATATCGTAAAAGATGGGAATATTTTTCCGAATTATTAGTAATAGCAAAGTTCGACGAAGAAAGCGCTGCAATAAGTAGTAGGGTTCCGAAAACGGAAATTCGGAATACCGTAATAGGCTAATATTGGCGAGCTTAAGTGGAAGTTGCACAAACTGCTGTTGTCATTGATCTTCTGGGGCGGGAGGGGATGGGTGATTCAGATTTATTTCTAAATGATATGTGACTTATGTCACGTCAATTTTTATTTGTGGGATTTGATGATAACTTATCTTAAGCTATCAGTTCTGAATAAGTAGTGTGCTTGGTTACCTGAGATTATGATTCCAGGTGTGATGGGAGTTCTGTGTTTGATGAGGTTGTGAAACCCAATTTTGCATTTGTTCCTTATTGATCTCTCATTTGCGCTATTCTCTGGCTAGTTTTATCGTTCTTTACAGTATGGACCTTCTTCTGCATGGCACAAAAATTTTCGGATTCGTCCGTTCATATTTTTGCACTTCTTCACTTTAACTAATCGTCCAAATAATTGTATCCACTTCAGGAGGTAAACAGGATTGTTTGTGTTAGTAATGTCAGATCCGGTTGCGGAATTCTTGGCACGTGAACAAAATGTTCTAGCTGGTATACAGGATGATGCCCTAGGAACTAGTCCTCAACCGTATATCAGTAATACTGGCAGCAGCGATGTAGTTGATAACGGTACGTTTTAAAATGAATGAAACATTTTTTTGTTCCAATGGTTTTTGGATAACTACGGTATATCAAAGAAACATTGTATTCATGACCAGTTGACATCGGAAGCATTGTAGGTTGAATTTAAGATTACCGGATAACCCATTGTGTTATCTTCGGCCAAAACATTTTGTTGAGAGAGAAAGTAGGGACTTTCAGAAAGCAACAAAGAATTTCATGAAGTCGTCTTCGAAAGGTCTGTAACGAATCAGAACGATTTTGCTTTACGCATCGGTCAGATATTAGTATGCACTAGAAATAGTCGCTCATTGTGGATACTATTCTTTGCTGGACATTTGTTTAACTCTATCAAAGAAGTGAGAGGGTTCCTTGAATAGATAGTGAAGTGCCGAACCAGTCATTAGGTTTATTATCTGATCGATTTTTTTTCCCGTTTGAAGATATTTTGGACTTCAGGGAATGACATTGCTTCTGCAAACGAAGCTCGTTTGTTAAGCGGGACCAGTGATTCTGGTTTGGATCTTCCAACACTAGCAAACGGTGTACAACGCTCAAGCACAACTCCATCACCTTCTCTTTCAGCAATGAGCAGTGCATCGAAATCGGAACCGGAGAAAATAAAGAAATGGCGAGAAGAGCAGAAAATAATGCTAGAGAAGAAAGGTATGAGCCCGTTTATACCACTTGGTTTTTTCCTATTTCTTGCGTAGAAAAACTCAACATTTTTCCCGCACTTCATATTTCATCCAGATGGCATCCTCAAGCTCTTATCATGCTGAAGTAGATTTCATGAAAATGTGAGGGATATTTTTTGATCATTCAGCTGTGAATATACTATTGAATAACAACTAATATTATACGAAGGAGCTAAATGTTATTTTATCTAATAATATGTTTGGTTTTCGTTCAACAACATGGACATGTTGTTCCTGACACAACGGCACACTGGGCTTTGCGATTATTACTGAGCTTATGCAGGTTTATTAATTTAGTAAGCCACAAAATAAATGGTTAAGGGGAAAGGGAATATCAAGAAACCAATAATTTAAGTAACTTTAATGGGAGTGTCACGAAGAAGTGAGAAATTGTTGACGTTGTAGTGGAACTTACCATTTTCTCATGGTACATTTGTTGATAAATATGCTTTCTAACAGGGTGTTTATATAACGTGATATAAACAGATTGGTTTTTTATACAGAATTAACAATTATCTATTTTTGTTGCAGATAAAAATGAAGAGAAAAAGAAGGAGGAAATGAGAGCCGCTGGTAAAAAAGAATTAGAAGAATGGTATGCGCAAAGAGCAGAAAAACTTGCGAAAACTAGGGCAGCTAATCGGTAATTTTCTTTCAAGATTTCCTGCTTATTCTGCTTATGAAAATAGATGATATAGTTTGAAAATAAATGAGACTTTATTTGTATTAAATCTGAAAAACTTTTGTCTCAAACAGAGGAGAAGAAGCTGGATGGTAAGCTAGCACCATGTGGTCAGTAAGTGTTGCAGTCTGCTGTGATTAGTGAGCGAAGTGTAAATTACGCGGTTTGAATAAGAAAGATTTCGTATTTCTTGAAAGTGTAGCAGTGAAGTAAAAGAGAAAAAAAAAAAAGTAAAAGAGAAAAAAAAAAGAGAAATGCGCTCTTGTTATGGTATCAACGTTTTCGATAGTGTTCATTCTGACTAATATCTAGCCGATTTTGCTGATGCAAAAAGACGAAAAAGTCTTCAATTTTTGTGAAGTATAAGTGTAGAATATGAATGGAAGTTTTTTGTATCTCATACTATTCTAGCTTCATGTCAATTGTGTTATATTACCTCTCGTTATTAATCGCTTTTTTTTTATAAATTTTAAGGAAAGCCGAAGAAGATTTCATTTCTGATCGTGAGGCCTTGAAAGATGGAGCGGAGTGGGAACGGATTGCTAAATTATGCGAATTCAGTGCTAAGAATTCGAAAACATCTAGTGATTTATCACGGCTAAGGACTCTTCTTCTTAAACTTAAAACGCAAAAAGAATAAATTTAATGAACTGTATTTTTTGAAGGTGCTAGTCGTATGCTTCTTTGCAGCGAATTCCATAATGGTGAATTTTTCCTTTCTGTAGGACTTCATTATGTTTTTAGTGCGACATCATTTCTAATATATCCAAAACATTCTTTTATTTTCGTAATTATGCCCTCATTCAGTTCAGTTACTTCCTAAAACACACATTATTACTATAGTTTTGGGCTTTGTGTTCTTAAATGCATAAGGTTAGTAGTTTGACGCGATGTAAGCTTAAATTCAAAATGCATCGCTATGAACCCATGTGCAGTCCATAGAATCGTTGCTGGATTCCTAGCTATCTGCAATCTTATTGGTTGAATATTCAGATTTTAATACTATGGTATGAAATTAATTCTTGAACGGCTCGTTATTTGCCTTTTTTGCCGAAAAAATTTTTGAATTTCGAAAAGCTAGATTACCCTTTCGAAGCTTGATCTTTTGTTCTAGATGACAGGTTTGCTTTGCATTCCGTAGTACCTTTTCGCTTATTTCACATGCCAATATTTCATATTAGCTAGCTTTTCTTATTTACAAGTGAGCTTGAAATTAGGATGGACGTTGCATTTAGGATGAAATATATGTAATATGTAAAAAGGAGTAATAAACAGTTTGCTGTCGATGTTTTCATGGATAGAATAATGACGTCATTTCATCTATTTCCCAGACTTTCCTTGATGTTTTAGTGAAGGTGATTTTATCTTAATATATGCTGCACCTCGAAGGACTATGAAATCATAGTTGTACATTTTGTTTATGCTCCTAGCTCGATGACTATGACAGCTTTTTGTTTTGTGTTCATCCTGTCGTATTTATATCACTCCTCTACACAGGCATATCGCGAGGGTGGTTTACTACATTCATCTGAATTATTCTGCCGTACAGTCTTAGCATGTAACTGGCTTACTGTGTTTACGTCACCCTTTGTAAAGACGTTATGTTTTGTCATATTCACGTGTCACTTTGTACTCGCACAACATATGAGTGGTTTGTCTCATTTACATGACTCTTTTACAGTTTCTTCCAAATTTATTATAAATTCCTCTCGCACAGTTTGTTTACAATCATTCTATTTTTCATTTTTTTTCCAATAAAATACTTCAAAATTCATTTGTTCTTCCTTCTAGGTTCCATCTATGTTCATTCGTTCATTGTTTTTTTCCTACATCTCCTACTATTTTTTTCATTCTGTGAAACAAAAGGAAAAAAGTAACTCGTTGTGATCGAATAAATTGTTGCGGAGCAATTTTTAAAAGTTTCAAATTTCGATAAATCGGAGATAATTTGGTTGGTATCCAAAAAAATATATTTCAGTCGTTTTTTTGTTCCTTCTGAGTTTAAATGAATTAATTTGAGAGTTTTACTATGTGTTGATGTTATCACGAGTGGGTATGGCCCATCAGAGAGTAATTTTCTCGCGTCCGATTGGGAGAGCCATATTTTCATCAACATGATTAGGGGAGCGTTTTGCTTTATTTTTGGGGTGTCGTTGAGAATCGAAGATCAACCTCCGAAGGTCTGGGAGTTTTGAACTGCTGGAGGCAGAAGCCTCCAAGCATTTTGTTTTCATTCACTTGGTCAAATTTTGATTTGGTGCGTTAGATAAGGTAGGAAGAACACCTCCGTGGGAAAGGATAGCATTGGGGTAGTGCGAGAGTAGCAGGTTTGTTTATTATACATGTTAAGTTGAGCTGTCTCATGCTGGAATATATTCTCATACGCATGTGACAGTACTGTAATTGATTTTAATATTTTTGCTTTCATTTCAATGTTTGTTTTTTGTTTTTGTTTTTGTTTTTTTTTTTTTTTGCTTTCCGCTTTCAAAATGAACGAAAGATAAGCCATCGGAAGGAAGATGTATTTGTTATTTTAGACTGAGGAAGCGTAGACGAAATGCAACTTCGAGTGATTTTTGATTTCAAAGTAGTTCATAAGCAGCTGAAACAACTCAATATGAGAGTGCGTTTGGCCTAAGAATTGAAGTGAGTATT